GGGGGGGGGGGGGGCGTGGTTTCAGAAGACCTGATATTTCTCTGTTGCGGTTAAGTAACACTTATGGGTCTTACTCCTCCTCCATCCTGTCATTGGACAGTGATCAGAGAAGCAACAGACTGACAAGCAAATCTGTCACTCTGCTCTCTCCTCCTATCTGCATGTCATCAGCAGAGCACAACTGATTGGCTGCTAGTGCTGCCCCTCCCTCTCCCACGCCTGAGCTTTGCTGTACAGGGACTGCAAATACAGCCCTTAGGCGTGGCGGCTTTTACCTTTTTTCAGGCCAACGACATTGGCAGCAGGTACAGAATACGCCCGGCGATCCTGCCAGAAATGCCGCCTCCTCGTCACTTCCTGTGAGCAGATCTAAAGAAGGGGGGGGGGAGGAGGAAGTTTTTTTTCTTGTGTTGGCTACTAATCATTGAAATACCTGTCCAGGCGGGGTGACAACCACTTCTCCCTCCAGATACGGTGATTGAGTGTTGTCACCCTAGGACAGGAAGTGTGTCACTGGCCGGATCGCATGGGGGAAATAAGGAAACAAATGCAGCCGCCACATCTGAGGACTGGTAGACTGCGATACGTTGCCAACCAATCAGCTTCCATCTTTCATTTTCAAAGCTTGACGGAACAAAATGAAGAGGGGGTTGGTTGATTGGTTGCCATGGCAACTGCTCCAGATTCTGTCTGGTTTAGGCCTCGTTCAGCCTCAAGCGGCGTCTCATTGAGGGGGGTGGCCACCGTGTCCCAGGTTGCTAAGAGCCCTTGGCAACCTGTGACCCTCTGTCCGGCTTCCTGACCAGCTCATTGGAGGGGGTGGCTAGTAGGGGGAGTGGCCACCGTGTCCCAGGTTGCTAAGAGCCCTTGGCAACCTGTGACCCTCTGTCCGGCTTCCTGACCAGCTCATTGGAGGGGGTGGCTAGTAGGGGGAGTGGCCACAGTGTCCCAGGTTGCTAAGAGCCCTTGGCAACCTGTGACCCTCTGTCCGGCTTCCTGACCAGCTCATTGGAGGGGGTGGCTAGTAGGGGGAGTGGCCACAGTGTCCCAGGTTGCTAAGAGCCCTTGGCAACCTGTGACAAAAAAAACGGGGTGACAACCACTTCTCCCTCCAGATACGGTGATTGAGTGTTGTCACCCTAGGACAGGAAGTGTGTCACTGGCCGGATCGCATGGGGGAAATAAGGAAACAAATGCAGCCGCCACATCTGAGGACTGGTAGACTGCGATACGTTGCCAACCAATCAGCTTCCATCTTTCATTTTCAAAGCTTGACGGAACAAAATGAAGAGGGGGTTGGTTGATTGGTTGCCATGGCAACTGCTCCAGATTCTGTCTGGTTTAGGCCTCGTTCAGCCTCAAGCGGCGTCTCATTGAGGGGGGTGGCCACCGTGTCCCAGGTTGCTAAGAGCCCTTGGCAACCTGTGACCCTCTGTCCGGCTTCCTGACCAGCTCATTGGAGGGGGTGGCTAGTAGGGGGAGTGGCCACCGTGTCCCAGGTTGCTAAGAGCCCTTGGCAACCTGTGACCCTCTGTCCGGCTTCCTGACCCGCTGTCCGGCTTCCTGACCAGCTCATTGGAGGGGGTGGCTAGTAGGGGGAGTGGCCACAGTGTCCCAGGTTGCTAAGAGCCCTTGGCAACCTGTGTCCCTCTGTCCGGCTTCCTGACCTGCTCATTGGAGGGGGTGGCTAGTAGGGGGAGTGGCCACAGTGTCCCAGGTTGCTAAGAGCCCTTGGCAACCTGTGTCCCTCTGTCCGGCTTCCTGACCTGCTCATTGGAGGGGGTGGCTAGTAGGGGGAGTGGCCACAGTGTCCCAGGTTGCTAAGAGCCCTTGGCAACCTGTGTCCCTCTGTCCGGCTTCCTGACCTGCTCATTGGAGGGGGTGGCTAGTAGGGGGAGTGGCCACAGTGTCCCAGGTTGCTAAGAGCCCTTGGCAACCAGTGACATGCCCTGCCTGGCTTCCCTCCCAGCTCACCGATGTCATTGGTTGCCAGGGAGCGGAGCGGGATGCTCTGAATGGCGTCCCGCTGAGCTCCTGGCATCCAGCAATGGCGGTCATCTGGGCGGCACGGGGCCTACGCCAGCAGCAGCCGCCACACCCGACGTAGATTGGACTTCCTTCTGGAAAACGCTAATTTCCTGGCTGTGGTATTCTCTAAGCTGCTGACCCAGATTGAGCGCGCGGCCGGCAGCGTCAGAACGTTGGGTCATTGCCAGGGTGGGCGACCTCGGCACTGCTGCGGCTGTCAGTCTTGCAATGCCTCATGGGACTTGTAGATCCACAACAGTGGGAGGGCCCAGGTTGCCCACCCCTAGGGATGATTTAGGGTTCGGTCCATTCCCGAGCTCATCAGAACCTATCGGTGCCGCCCAGTCAGGTGCGGCCGGGGCATTTCCAGGAAACAAAGGGGGCGGGGTGCTGATGATGTCATTGACCTTATATGGTCATAATTGGTCAGTTACATTTTCGTTTGCCATTTTTTTTTTTCTTCAATTGGGGGGACGCTGTGCTAGAGAGAGCCAGTTTGTAGGGGCCCCTAGGATGCACGGGGCCCCTAGCATGTGCAGGGCATCCAGCTGCGTCTCCAATGTGCTCCGACCCCCGTGACTGATTCATATGTTATGTTGGATTGTCATTGAGTTTTACTTCTGCAACACGTGTGCGCGCCTCTTACTCACTTCCTGTCTCAATTTTGTCTCTTTCAGGTTCTGAGCTGAGAAGATGAGTCTTCAGTGGACGGCCGTAGCGACCTTCCTGTATGCCGAGGTCTTCGTTGTCCTCCTTCTCTGCATTCCCTTCATATCCCCCAGAAGGTAACACCGTTCCCACAATGGCTTCTGTACTGAGACACTACGGAGGCCTGTTAATAAATGCTTGTTGCCTGGCCGCCATACTAATTCAGTGGCTTCAGAACCTCGAGTCACCGACCTGGAACATGTGCCGATCAGGAGCTCCGGCTTCTCATTGGCTGTTCCCCGGTCAGTGACTGAAAAATCACCAAGAGACGCCCGAGGCTGCCGGCCTTCCGAGGAGGTCAGTGACGGGCTTCTCACCATACACACTACAATCTACCTTAGATCTACCAAACCTGCTGCATGTCATGTGACAACCTACCTCATCTATCCAATCAGTCTGTATGGCACCTCGCGGCAGAACTGCTCCTTTATAATGTCAGGATCCCCTTTCACACTAGAGTCCCCCCTTTCCCCCCCTTCACGTCAGAGACCATACCCACTACAATCTCCCTTAGATCTACCAAACCTGCTGCATGTCATGTGACAACCTACCTCATCTATCCAATCAGTCTGTATGGCACCTCGCGGCAGAACTGCTCCTTTATAATGTCAGGATCCCCTTTCACACGGGAGTCCCCCCTCTCCCCCCCTTCACGTCAGAGCCCCCCCGTTCGCGTCGGTG